GCACGTGATAACACCCCCGAGTGCCTTTGTGGGATTAATCACTGTTCTTTTGCCACATTCAGGATGGTTAAATCCTACATAAATTTCACCAATTAGCGGCCTTTTCAGAAGTCAGCTCTTGTGTATGCAGCGCACATCCAAATATGAGTAGTCCACCTGAGGTAAACTCAGCTCCACAAATTGAAAGTGAGGACGGCAATCCATCTAAGCCAATTTAACGTGGTGTGATGACTGTTAATCCCAAACAACTCCCCATAAATATGACGTCAGCCACCTTATGTTCACGACATTCGCCTTATGTTCACGACACTCGCCAACAGCGGGAGACAGACAGTCACTGACTGTGAACACATGGCGATGACCGATAGATGTTCCCTCCCGAGCTGCCGCGGCTCCTGACCAGTTTCCGCCACTGCCGCCCCGAGGTCATGACCCTGATCTGCTGGTCTCCGCCCGGCCGCGATAAATATGGCGAGGAGCGGCCCCTCGGCGGGTGGCCCCGACCCAGCCTGTCACTATAGAACGGTGCAGATTAACGCGACTGCCACTGGTCGTTTGTAATGTGTCTGCTTGGCGGATGAATTCGCGGTAAAACACCCATCGATAACGGACGGAATCTGGAAGCTCGAAAGGTCCGCAAAACATTTATCGCAAACATCATAGGGCGCCCTGTGTGACTTGTGAAATAGGGGCTGGACCTTTCTGACTTTGTGGATATAATGCGAATATGATCATGGCTCGAATTTTTCGTGAATACAGGCTTTGGATGCAACCGAAGACTTCTTATGACAGTCGATTCGATTCGGAAGATAGCTTTTGGTCTATCAACTTCGGTAAATCTATTTCGACCAGGTGGCCATACAAGTCATGCAATCGTTTGCTAAACAATGGTAACAATTAATCACACCAGCGCAGCTCTAAACTAGTATTTAGTATTAACCCGCGCCCGGCTGGGGGTCCTGGATTTCCACGCCCTGCTGGGGGGGGGGGGGGTGTTTGAACATCCCCCCTTCTAACTCGGCTCCTGGGCCACGTAGCGATACGCGGAAGGCGGCGTTCGAAAGAGCGTAAAAAATAATGAGGAAATCACTTCGGTCAATTTTTTGGTCAGGTCAAAGGTCAGGTCACCAGAGGTCATTGAAGGCAAAATTTCGCCGATTTCCAGGTCGAATGTCGACAATTTCCAAGAAGCCAACGCATAACTCGGGAACCAATAGAGCTACAGCGCCGCGGAAAAGCGCATTCGATAGCCCTATTAACGCCCTTTCTGAGCAATTTTCTCAGATTTGACCTAACGTCAACGGTTTTGCCTGCAGGGAGAAAAAACTGCAAAAATAGCCGATTTGTTCGGAAACAGTTTTTCTGCAATAACTTTTGACCCAAGCCTTGTACGAGCTTACTTTTACCGGCATCGTGTTCCTCTCGTCAAAACGCATCGAATGAACTATAACTTGACCTTGAAAGGTCAACTTGAAAATTTGACCTCAGGTCAAGGTCATGACCTGACCGGAAAGGGTCATGTTGCATATCAGTCGATCCGTATCGTCGAGCTGAACACATCTAAGTCGTTTTCATCGCTCTAGCATGCCTCTATCAAAAGCTATTTGCGAAAAACTGTTAGATACCATTCGGGACCTAAGATGACCTCAGGGCATAAACAGGGGTCACGGACACCATTTTCATGTTCAGTGTGTCTAAACCACTTGTAATTCAGTGTTTGGGAGTGCTTATAATGTCGTTTGTCCATGGACAAATGGACAAAAAATGCGCCTCTTTTGCAAAAGAGGCGCATTTCAATTTTCTCCCATTGACTTATAATAGGGAGGTCGCAAAATTGACCTGACCTTAGGTCATCGATATCAAAATTCTGTGATATACATTTTGTACATGCTATTGCTCTTAGCAATCGCTGAAAGTTTCAAAGCGATCGGTCACTCGGTGTAGCTATGACAGACATTGAAACTTTTTATGAGGTGAGGTCACTTCAAGTGACCTGGTGACCTGACCTTGAATGACCTTGGTCTGAAATTTTCACATGTGTAGAATTGATGTATGATAAGGTGTACCAAAAACCACAAGGGGGGGTGTTCAAACACCCCCCCCCCCCCAGCAGGGCGCGGGTTAATACCACACCTTATTGACGCCCATCTCGTGAGTAATTCTAAATAACAGCTATGCTGCAATTTCCCTGCATTTCCCTGCACATAGCCTAGCCATGCACATTGCACAATGCAAACATTGCAAACATTTTCATGGTTCAGTCAATGTCACTATTTCGCTCACGACATGTCAGCGCAGATGCACTGCACTCCACTGCATAATGGAATCGCATTTGCACTCATAAGAGGGGCAAACTGAACAGTGGACAGGCTGGTTATTAGGTACTCGGGAAGCGTCCACCCCTCCCGGGTGGTTAGAATTACCCGGAAGTTACACTGTGGTGACGCGTCTGCCATCGGGCTACCCACCATAGTTGTGTCTGTCGGCTGGGCGGAGCTCATCCTTGGAACTACCCGGTAGACCCAACGCCACCGGCGTGACCCATCTGTTCAGTCGGGTGCAGCCGCCCAAATGACGCATGACATTATTACCTCCGCGTGCGTAACGCCGAACGCGTCAGGCGTGCTTCAAACGCATGAACAGCGGCTCGTTACGAGTACATGGTATCATGTGTGTTCACTATACATGGCGTAATTAGGTTCGAGACTCCGTCGCTCAAGGCAAGGTGATTTACCCAGGCCAGGGCGTTGTGACGTGGGGCCGTGGAGCTGCGGGCGTGTGTATGCGGCCAGCGTGGCTGTCTCGAAGGTCAGGAGGAATGTCTACCCATTAGTTATCCGTCGGATCGCCACCCTTCTGGCGGTACAGGCTCTCAATGGCAGGGTTATGTGCGTGGTTATGATGAGGTAATTGCTGGGCTCCAGACCCGTAAACTCATCTCCTAGCCTTTGGGATAAGACTAGAAGAAATATACGACTCAGGGTGATACGGATCGGCTGTGAAATTAATTCTCATGACGACAGGTTTTTGTACCTGCCCGTCTAGTATCTCGCGATTACACTCACCGCGTCGGTGGCATTGTAAGTATTTAATGACAATGGTTGTAAGGGTAAAAAGACACAATTTTGCACGGCATTTGTACGGCATGAGCACTGGACAGCCCCTTCTGCCTCCGTGCGAGGTAAGTCAAATAATATGCGCCGATGACCGTCTGTCTTCAGAAAAAAAAACTAGACCATGCACCGGCTCAACGATTCCGTCCTTCAATCATGAAAATAACGCCCACCAAACATAAAAGCCGTAGGCGTTCTATAAAGCGAGACGTTATAAATCTTACAAAGTTACTAGGCTGTTGAAAACGACCAATGCCATTGTAAATGGCCCGGGTACATTACAGACATCACTTTAATTTGCTTCGATTTAATCACCAACTTACATCAGTTGTAACTAGTTGTTACTCAATAATACCTAATATTTCCTTCAGTAGGATTATTAAAATGAGCACTAGGTACAAACCTATTTCGTGATAAATGAAATGAACCATCGATCCAGCCATCGCCTTGAAATGCGGACATAGGATGTGTGAGAGGCTGATGCTGCTGATAAGAGAGCGAGAGTTTTGTCGAAAATGTCCAGTGCGAAGAATGTAATTTTTTGATGAGAGAAAGAGAGGAAAGGAGAGAGAGAGAGAGAGAGAGAGAGAGAGAGAGAGAGAGAGAGAGAGAGAGAGAGAGAGAGAGAGAGAGAGAGAGAGAGAGAGAGAGAGAGAGAGAGAGAGAGAGAGAGAGAGAGAGAGAGAGAGAGAGAGAGAGAGAGAGAGAGAGAGAGAGAGAGAGAGAGAGAGAGAGAGAGAGAGAGAGAGAGAAGGAATGCAGGATGAAATAAATGTGGGTGGTTCAAAAGAAAGTGATTAAAAAGAAAAAACTGAAAGAAAAGTCATTGAGAGAAGAAGGGAATTAAGGGTTACAAACCTGGTATGCATCATGTTCACCTGAATGTCTCCATTCCCAGTTAACATTTTTATCACTAAAGACACCTCGGGTCAAAGCCCTTACCCGAAACTCATCCACTCAAACCGCCAGAGCCAGTGGTTAATTCCGGGAACCCGTCCGTCCTGTCCAGTCCCTCTGAGACCCGTCCTGCGGCCCGGTCCTGTGATCGGCGTGAGGCCGGTGTGATCGGCCGGGGCGCCGACCCACGCTGCTCTGACCTTCACCTTGGCCATTACAGCGCTCCCCAGGGACCGGCGCCGATTGGTCACGTGATTCAAGTCACGTGCTCGACGCGCACAGTCACGGTTCTGGCTCTAGTAACGTGAGGGTCCGGCGCGGCAGACGGGGCGGGACAGGTGACTTGATAGACATTACGTTATTCAATTAATGTACTCTTAACATTAATGTTTGTGCTAAGATCCAGTTTTGGCATCCTGTTACAGGCACTGGTTTAAAGCTGGACGTCGATGGGTACTTTTCAGATGTGGTCTGAACCAAACATCTGCACTATATCAGTCCGCTTTTATCTTCCAGAAAGTTGAGTGCTGTACAATGTGATAGGTACAACTAAAACACGAAAATAAACCCACAAAGCAATCAACATGTGCAGGTACTTACTGAGCTGTGTAGCCAGCTGGCAGCTCTGCTGCAGCTGGCTCAAGTTCTTCCAGAGTTTAAAGTTAAGCATAGCCAAGGAGCTTCGTTTTGTAAAGCCGAATAAGTTTTTCTTACACCGCATACGCGCGAAAATAGCCAGGATGTTGCAGGCACTAGAGGCCACTGAGTACCGTCTTCCTCACTGGCCCTGGATGCTGCCCTGGCTGAGGTATGGGGGGGGGGGGCGCTGCAGCAGCCGCAGCAGTCATAGAGCCGGGCGTGGTCCATGGTAAATGGGGACCTTCCCACGCCTCAGGCGAGACGAGCCCGCACTTACACCAGCACAGTGCACCGCGACTGACCGGGTGGACCTCCAAACGCCGGCAATTGAGTGCGATCAGCGCCGCCGGCACGGTGGTTAACTACCTTTGTCCGTCAGTGGAGCGCGTCGAAGGACAGACGGAAGGCTGCGGTGCACAACTCTGTCGCATCGGCATCGATGGTGCTCTGTTATGGAGGCATGTCGTCCTTGCCAAGCCTCAGAAGGTTGCATCCGAGTATATAACGGCTGGCCCGGGCGCGGTTCAGCATCATTTGGTGCCTGTCTGCGCCGGCTGCCCCTGTCCGCCATCATGAAGTCCATCGTGAGTACAGCACGAGCGTATAACCTGTGAATTTGATAATTGGGAACAAAGCGGTGCACATTGCGCATTATCTGCGCTGATTATCCTGTAGGCTGTAGTAGGTATTTATTGCGCTGGGTATGCATATAAATCATAAATCGTCATTGCATAAGCGAGTAGGTGACTTCAATACGCTACAGCGATTCATTACGCCGTCGTGACATCACCCATTAGTGACAAAGTAACTGTGGTAAACCCATCCGCTCTAGCATTTCCAGAGTCCAACTAACTGGATCCTGACCATAGTATGTTGCAACATCAAGTCGTATGAACAATGACTCACATATTGTTTGCTATTTCTCATAACTCATAACTTCTTCAAATCTTTCGTAACGCAATGCGCCTTGAATTCCTCTAAAGATTGAAATTCCCGAGGCATTTCATTAGGCAAATTACTTGATACAACTGGGTAGGTATGTTCTTAGACGAAGCTGATAATCCTTGTTTATAACAGCTAATTAGAAGAAAAAATAACAGTTACCGGTTATCCCAATTTCAGTTTGAACGTAAGTGAAGTGTGAACGTCTGAACGAAAACAAAAGTTTCAGGCATGTTTTCATACAATTCATTCGAATATTTATTGCAACCTGCCTCAACATGTCACATCTCCCGGTCCTACCGCTAGATCAAAACGGGACAATGGACTATGCATCGTTTTCATTCCCTTTCAACATTTCCAGAAGTTCCCATTGGCACCCGTTAGCCCCATGGCTCCACAATCAGCCTCCTGCCGCTCAGGCGGATGTCACTTTCCCAGTCCGTGCCCGGCACAAAGGGTGGTGGTCGGCGGAAAGTCCGCGCCGTTCCGCCGTTCCGCACGGACTCGACAGCCTCTCACTGCCCGATTGCCATAGTGACGTCATCGTAGCAGGATCCGCCCGACAATATCGGACACTCACTGACTATCACGCCGCGCCCCCGGAGCAATCCGTGAGAAAGGGCTGACAATGTGATCAGTGAACTGTGTAGTTTGACCATTAATTCCAAACAATACAATGAAGCATTGTGTCCTCTCTGACGATGCATGCGTTTATTTTTGTTTGGTACGTTTCCCTTTCCGCCATATGGGCGAAAAAAAGTTGGTAAATTTGGGCACAAATGATTAACATCCGTGCCTTCTATCAATGTCACAGTGCATTTATGATGATACTCCTCTGAGTGACTTCCCCACTTTGTTGTCTTACTCTTCCACATATCTGACTATTCACTACACAATCACACCTGACCAGGCAGTCCCACCAGCCTTCCACTGCGACCCCACCTGACCTTCCCGGCCGTCCCTGCCTCAGTTTGTCGTCAGCCTGCTGGTGGCTGTGGCTGCCTCTCAGGAGATCCTCAGCTACGACGCCGGCGACCACCAGCACACGGCCTCGGGCGAGCCGGGCACCTCCGTCAGCGGAGAGTACTCGCTGCAGACGCCCGAGGGCAAGACGATCGTCATCAAGTACAAGGCCGACGAGAACGGATACGTTGCCGAGTCGGACGACCTGCCGCAGGCTCCGGCCGTGCCCGATGTGCCCGCCGTGCCCGAGGTGAAGGCGGCAGTGGAGGAGCCGGCTGCTGAGGAGCCCAAGCCCGTCCCGGCTGTCTACGCCTTCAGCCCGTACCACTACGGCCTGCCGTACGCCGCCCTGCCGCACGCCGCCCTGCCGTACGCCGCCCTGCCATACGCTGCCGCTCCCCTGCACTATAACTTCGCACCACTGCCGTACGCCTTCGCTCCCCTGCCCGTCGAGCATTAAGTAAAAGTTACTTCATCATCATCAGCGGTATGGCATCTCCTCCGGAGCCAGCGCGGCACTCGGCGCCTCGCCAGCAGGGTGACGGTAACCAGATGTGACTTCAGATGCGACTCGGCGCTGGACCGTCGCGAGCTGAAAGACGCAGCTGTCTCCGCACCAACTCCTGCGGATTCAAGGGCATCTCCGGTGCGCGATAAGCGGCGCTGTTGCATTGCGTATTGTTCGTCCCGTTTTTGTGCGCTTTCATTTTCAGTTCACAAATAAAGCAGGATATTCCTGTTGCGTCTCTGTGTGGCTGGACCGGCCTGTGGCGCCGGTCAGACCGGCCAAATAGGACGACTGCAGCGATCGTGCAGGGCAATTAGACGCGGCCGTATCCCGGGCGTGCCGATGGTTAGATAGTGGTCTGGCTGCGGCCGGTCGGCCGATCCGCAACTGGAGCGCATTCCACGCCCGCCGCCGACCGGTCGGGGAGCGTCATCACGTGGGGGAGGGGGAGGAGAGGAGCGTCATCACGCAGAGAGAGGAGCGATCGTGTGCCGAGCACGGCCTTCTGCGGTGGGAACGCCCAGGAAAGTACGCTCTGACGGTCACACGCAGGGCAGAAAGACCACAGGCCGGTGAAGGCGTGGGCGGGGCGGCGCTGCTCATTGCCCGCTGCTCAGACACGAGATGCGTTCACCGGTGTCGGCCAGTGCCAGGCCGAGAAGAGAGCGGTCACGTGGGAGTCTGTCCGGCGACCGCTTCACTGAAGCGTGGGAGCGATGGATGGGTGTAGGGTAGCCACTAGTTAGTAATGGATACTGACTGAGGAAAATCGACGAGAAGCACTTCAGACTCGCTCGGAGGAATATCAATCGATCGCGATCATATGAAAACCACCGACATTGTCCCGTAACGTTTCATTGCAAATGGAATGCCCTTTTCCTTGTCATTCAAATGTGGACGTTCTTAATAATCGTCCGCTTTTCTTTGAACCTACTCATTCCTTTAGATAACTAGTAACCTATACTGTTATCTATACCTACTGTTAACGCCAGACCCCTTGAGACCCTAATTTTTCGCGATTACTTTTAAATGCGTGAAGGAATTTCAACCAAGCTCAGGACATGGCCGTTTCAAGACAGGCCGAAACTTTTACAATTTAGATATTTTATCGCCATTTCAATATTTCAGGCACTTGTCATTGACTCGTAATGTTAAATTTCGAGCAAGATTTTCATCCGGTGTGTAGAGGCTATCACCAGTCAGTCTGTGATACGTTATGACGTCACAGCTAAGCCCCGCCTCTGTGGTCTTGGCCTGCGGCGGTTTCGGGCCGGCGCGCGGTCACTCTCGCTGTGGCGGGGAGCGGGGACGGGCGACGGTCGAGCGGTGCCGAAAGCCGGCGGAGTTGTGCGTAGCGTCTTGGCTGACAGTGCCCAGAGAGCGACATGATGACTAAGGAGTCATAAATGCTCAATGCGCATTGCTTCTACAATGCTGATATGTTCGCTGATATATTTTTTTTTATAAGCTGCATATGACGGGCAGATGGCATATAACTGACATAAGGTTAGGAAATATTCACCTGTATTTAAAGCCTATGGCGTTGCAGATAATGCGATAATGGGATGTCGGATGTCACCAAGTAGCTGCCGATTTGTACATCGCTATGCAACCATCGAACAACGCAATAATAAGTTAATTGCCTGAGCTTCACATCATACGGCTCGCTCGTATTTCAAACAGATACCCTACATCGAAAATCGTATTTGTTAGGAATCGTTAACGTTTGTTCGAAGCACGACTGAGTAGTAGGTTGAGGAGTGATGGTCCTCTTGGTCCTATATACAAGAGTCAACAAGAGCCTAACATTTACTTGACCGTCTGCTGCAATTGACTCATAGCACGTGAAGCGTCAGCGAAATTCATAGTCCTTCACAGATGGCAGGGGTGTCGTTTGTACAGAGGTCGCTGATGGGCACGGGTCAATGCCGCAGTCGTGGGCGGAGTCTAATGTCATATGACGTAGAAAGCCTCTATCCAGGATGGAAAAACAGTTAACATTACGAGTCAATGACAAGTGCCTGAAATATTGAAATGGCGATAAAATATCTAAATTGTAAAAGTTTCGGCCTGTCTTGAAACGGCCATGTCCTGAGCTTGGTTGAAATTCCTCCACGCATTTAAAAATAATCGCGAAAAATTAGGGTCTCAAGGGATCTGGCGTTAACAGTAGCTTACATTTTGACTGACGAGGGTAAGATTTACGACGGATCTTCATCAAAGCCCGGATTCTATGTAACTTGTCACGCATAATCACCTGGCCGTTTTGTCCCCGTTTTGTTGCATAGGTATGTCTCTATAAGTATAACTACATTATTTATCGTGTGACGAACATTTACGGGTTACACGGCCATGAAAGATTTTATGATTCACTGGTGTGCAAAAGCGCCAAAAAGTCGCGTTGTGACAAGGCATCAACAGGTGTCTAAGCGAGCCCTCAACATTAACCGTAAACATAAGCAACAGCAACAAAACGATGTGATATCCAAAAAAGCTGTTGACCGCTACCGTATTTAGTGAATGATGCATTGAAGCAAAAGCATAAACACTCATTATCACCGCCTTACATACCACATCATTGCCTATGAATGGCCTTAGCTGTCTCACCTACGCCACCGATATGCGGCGAGAATGCACTGGCTTTTGGTGACGATACGGCGCCCAGTCATTTGTACCGGGATTCTCGGCAGGCCCGTCTCATCCGTGTCACCATCGCGTGTATAAACTGGTTCTCCGGTAAGTACGCTGGGAGGGGCCGACCAGTGCATACCGAGCGGCGGCCCCGCAGGAGCAGGACGAAACGAAAAATAGATGTGCGGCACCCGCTGCACAGAGCGCTGTCCAAACAACAAACGCCGATTGCAAAATACAGACCGGTTTCTGGAGAGCGGTGGACAACAGACCTGATTGCAGCCATTATATTGATTTCTGAAGTTGTATGAAGAGAGAATTCTAATTCAGCATCTACTAACATCTCTCTGAAGCTGGTTTTAGCAAGGTATGTGTTCATCTATGCTTTAGTTGCATTGCCAATTTTATACGGGATGTCAAATCTGTACCATGAAAAACTGTTTCACTTACGCTTTCGCTTACGCCTGATCTGCAAACACGGCATTACAAACGTTTGAAAGCAATAACATGATATGCTTACATATAATCAGTCAATCCAAATCTATCAGTAGCAAGTTTACATTTTGCTTACATACATTGTTTATTTATCATACATACATACATATCATACATATCATATACATTGGTGTGGATGGCCTGCCTGCATCTTTTTACAAATCATTTGTTGGTAGTTTTGCGAGACCACTTCTCCATGTTTTTAACGCTTCAATCGCTGAAGGCGTTATACCTTCGTACTGGAAAGTCGCAGAAATTGTACCTACATATATAAAGGCAAGGGTGACCAAGCATTGGCATCAAATTACAGGCCTATATCCCTGTTATGTGTTGTGTCCAAGATCCTTGAAGGTCTTATTTCTCTCCAGCTTAGATCTTATTTAAATGAATGTTGTGTGTTGGCAGACAACCAGTTTGGTTTCCGACCACACCACTCAGTAGATCATGCACTCATTACCCTGACGGAATCAATAAGATCTTCCCTCGACAAGGGTGACGTATGCCTTTTGGCATCTCTCGATTTAAGCAAAGCTTTTGATTCTGTTAATCATAACTTACTCTTAGACAAACTGTGTCACTATGGCATTGACCATCCATTGTTTAAGAACTATTTAGACGCTAGAAAACAGTTTGTTAGGGGCTGTGATGAGAAACGCGACGTTCTGTCCGGCGTGCCCCAGGGCAGTGTTTTGGGCCCTATGCTCTTTAATTTATTTGTTAACGATTTGCCAACTGCTGTACCCGAGTCATGTACAATTGTTCAATATGCTGATGACACCCAGATCGTGGTTTCCGGCTCACCCAAAGACGTGAATGACATGATCTCCCGCCTTCGAGCAGTCCTTCAAATATTAGCTGAATGGTTTTCTCGAAATCGGCTGGCCCTTAATGTTAGTAAATCAAAAGTAATCCTCTTTGGCTCCAAAGCAAGCTTAAGACGCATGAGTATTAAGAGCATCAATATATTTGATACCAGCATTGCGATCAGTTCATCCATCGTAAGTTTAGGCGTTACGCTCGACCAGTCTCTATCATGGGATCGACATGTTAGCAACGTTGTGGGGAAATCGATAGGCATGTTGATTCGTCTTGGTCATCTTCGCCACATTATGCCCCTAAGAACGATTGTGCTTCTTATCAATGCTTTAGTCCTCCCCCACGTTCGTTTTTGCATATCTGTCTGGGGAAGTTGCAATGCAACGCAACGGAAAAGAATAGGGAAAATCATAAAATTTGCGCGGCGTATTGCTGGCCGTGAATCAAAGAGATTAGCTTGGCATGGTGATGTTGGGGCCGAGCATAATATGGCTGTGCTGAAAATTATTCGAAAAAGTCTTCTATTCCCAGAAAATACTCCAAATGCTATTTCATCGCTTTTTAAAATGAAACGATCTGAGCGAATGACGAGGCAATGTGGCAATTTGGACCTTGCCATCCCTAAAACCGAATACAAAAAAGCATCCTTATCGTATCACGGTTGTAAGATATGGAATGGGTTACCTCCACATTTACGACAATGCTCTATCGCCGAGTTTAGCAAATACCTTAAAAGTAAAGCGGATGCTGGCGAATTAAGCGGTTAGGAATGTAGCACTGCGATGCGTCTTATTCGAATGTGTATACCTATTGTGAAGTTGTGCATAAGTGTGAATTGCAAATGTTAACAATCTTGTATGATATGTGCGAGCGGTGCGAGGCTGCGTTATCTGTGCTTTTGCCAGTTCCCGTCGTAATGCCCACTTGTTTGTGGTTGTCGGGTGAACCGAAAAATAAATAAATAAATAAATAAATTTATATCACTTTAATCAAACAATTAGATCCTCATTACCTTTTTTAACAATCGCTAAAGAAATATTACGAAGCCAGTGGCGCGATTACCTGAAAATCCTGTTTTCACCCCGAGCACCATTTCAAAGATCGATATGCGCGATGGCCAACGGAGCATGCATATGTGGTTCAGAATCCCAGCCGAGCGAGGTAAAACCAACCCTGCTGAGCTTCATGGCACCTAGTTTTAGCCGCTCAGCACAGATATCGACGGAACAATGAACACCCGCTTGCCCTGCAGAGGAAGCTATATAATTATCCATATAGTCTGTTGAA